GTTATAGCATCAATAACTGTTCCTCGTCTGTTCGGGTAATAGCGGTCGTCGGTTCCAACAACAATATTCTCTCTCACCGTTACCATTATTTTTGCCAGAGCATTGTTGCAGTTAATACCAAACTAGCGGTTTCGTTATCTAGCAAGAACTATATTGAAATCGTCAGGTAAACGTTAACAAACAATTGCGTACGATTTAAGACCATTTCGCAAGACCAAAACTGTCTTTATACTAGCAAGACCAATACCGAACTAACAAGACCAAGACTAAAACCAAGGCCTAACGAACGAGACCAATACTAAAACCAAAGCCTAACGAACGAGACCAATACTAAAACCAAAGCCTAACGAACAAGATCAGGACTAAAACCAGGGCCTAACGAACAAGACCAAGACTAAAACCAAGGCCTAACAAACAAAAGATCAAGACTAAAACCAAAGCCTAACGAATAAAAGACCAAGACTAAAACCAAGGCCTAACGAACAAATGACCAAGACTAAAACTAAGGCGTAACGAACAAAAGACCAAGACTAAAACCAAGGCATGAAAAACAAGACTAAGACGAACAAGACTAAATATAAAACCAAGGTCTAACGAACGAGACCAAGTCTAAAACCAAGGTCTAATGAACAAGACCAGGACTAAAACCAGAGCCTAACGAACAAGACGAAGATTAAAACCGAGGCCTAATGAACAAGAAAAAGACTAAAACCAAGGCCTAACGAAAAAGGCCAAGACTAAAAAGAAGGTCTAACAAACAAGACCAAGACTAAAACCAAAACCTAACGAACAAGATCAAGACTAAAACCAGGGTCTAACGAACAAGACCATGACTAAAACCGAGACATAATAAACAAGATAAAGACTAAAACCAAGGCCTAACGAATAAGATAAAGACTAAAATCAAGGCCTAACGAACAACATCAAGACTAAAACCAAGGCCTAATGAACAAGACCAGGACGAAAACCAGGGCCTAGCGAACAAGACCAAGATTAAAACAGAAGCCTTATGAACAAGAAAAAGACTAAAACCAAGGCATAGCGAACAAGATAAAGACTAAAATCAAGGCCTGACGAACAAGATCAAGACTAAAACCAAGCCCTAACGAACAACGCCAAGACTAAAAAGAAGGTCTAACAAACAAGACCAAGACTAAAACCAAAACCTAACGAACAAGATCAAGACTAAAACCAGGGTCTAACGAACAAGACCATGACTAAAACCGAGACATAATAAACAAGATAAAGACTAAAACCAAGGCCTAACGAATAAGATAAAGACTAAAATCAAGGCCTAACGAACAACATCAAGACTAAAACCAAGGCCTAACAAACAAAAGATCAAGACTAAAACCAAAGCCTAACGAATAAAAGACCAAGACTAAAACCAAGGCCTAACGAACAAATGACCAAGACTAAAACTAAGGCGTAACGAACAAAAGACCAAGACTAAAACCAAGGCATGAAAAACAAGACTAAGACGAACAAGACTAAATATAAAACCAAGGTCTAACGAACGAGACCAAGTCTAAAACCAAGGTCTAATGAACAAGACCAGGACTAAAACCAGAGCCTAACGAACAAGACGAAGATTAAAACCGAGGCCTAATGAACAAGAAAAAGACTAAAACCAAGGCCTAACGAAAAAGGCCAAGACTAAAAAGAAGGTCTAACAAACAAGACCAAGACTAAAACCAAAACCTAACGAACAAGATCAAGACTAAAACCAGGGTCTAACGAACAAGACCATGACTAAAACCGAGACATAATAAACAAGATAAAGACTAAAACCAAGGCCTAACGAATAAGATAAAGACTAAAATCAAGGCCTAACGAACAACATCAAGACTAAAACCAAGGCCTAATGAACAAGACCAGGACGAAAACCAGGGCCTAGCGAACAAGACCAAGATTAAAACAGAAGCCTTATGAACAAGAAAAAGACTAAAACCAAGGCATAGCGAACAAGATAAAGACTAAAATCAAGGCCTGACGAACAAGATCAAGACTAAAACCAAGCCCTAACGAACAACGCCAAGACTAAAAAGAAGGTCTAACAAACAAGACCAAGACTAAAACCAAAACCTAACGAACAAGATCAAGACTAAAACCAGGGTCTNTTTGATAATGCGGCATCAAAGGTTTTGTACTTACTTCTCAAAGAAATTTGCCGCTTTTCGGAAGTACATGGTTATGATACACGCGCCGGCGGCTTCTTTTGAAATCTAAAACAATCGTTGCCGCCACGCCGAAATCATAACATTTGACACTATTTGATTGCCGCCATAGGGTGTAGGTATACTCATGCAAAATAATTTCGAATTTTTTTACACGCTTTATATTATTGTTTGATTTGCGGCGGCATCCTTATCATAGAGCCGGCACGTGGCGAGGCGGCGCGGTAGAAAGCAAGGATCATAAATGTTTATTAAGAAACAGTTACTTCCATGGAAAACGACATATAGGTCAGTTGATTTTTCGAATTTCTTATCAAATCTTCAGTTATTTATTAATCTGCTTGATCTTTACTATGGCTATATTCATTCAAGCTCACAATGTTCCAATTCTAATACGTTTTTCTAGGATTTAAAGTAAACTTTAATAAATAGTAATAGACTAATAGGTAATTGCAAGACTTGCAAGACTCTTGCTGCAAGACCAAGACCAAGACCAAGACTGGGAGCGCAAGACCAAGACCAAGACCAGGTGTATTGGCGCAAGACCAAGACCAAGACTGGCTAAGTCTCGTCTTGTTCTTGCGTTTGGGCAACACTAGTTATCACCTGTATAAAAATTCTCCTATTCATGAATTCTTGATTCGTCGAAAACTTTTACATTTCACCTTCGTTCTTGGTGTCAGTTAACTCTATCCTAGAAGCTGAAATTTCTCAATTTTATAACAAAAAAGAACAAATAAAAAACTAAAGTAATAGCTACGCTGTGGTCTGTTGATTTTAATTCGACATATACAAACACTCACAGCAATAAAGTGGTTCACGTGCGGCTGGGATATCGACGGGATACAGGGTTAAAGATACACCAACTCCCACTCCTGTACTTCAAAGGATCTGCGAAGCAAATTGGAAAATATGACGCTAGGTGTCTGGGGGCACCGCAGGCGAACGTGAGCATATCTTAATTGCTACGAAATCCAAACATACTTTTATTAGAAACCAAAAAACCATTTGTAACAGAATTGAAGTCGGTGCCTTGAAAGTGCACGGATCAAAAAACAATTAATTTACAGTAAATCCTTCGTTATCCCCGGGGATTGATGGATATATATATTCGTACAGCGTTGAAGGGATAATGATAAAGTAGAAGTTCATACAAACATACGTTTGAGTTTTGCGAGAGCAAATAAATGAAACTAAACTTGCCAGTAGGTACATATGTTTGTTCACGTTAGTTGCAAATTCACTTACATGCAGCTATGTGATTTATTTGATACAGTCCTGTTTAAATTACAAATGCAAAATACCAACTAGAACTTAGTTTGAGTTATCTTATCAAAATAATCTCATAAACAAATGAAAAAGTCTTGATTCGTGACTCAAACATATGGGTAATAATACTTCTTTGTACTACAATAATTTAGTTACTATTACAATTTTTGTTTTTTTCTGGGGACTACCTGATCTGCTGTCACTACGTATAAACTTAAGCATGAGAAAGAACTTCCAAAATGTTGTCGACACCTGTGGGTGTGTGGGAGACGACATGGTGGTTACTGTGGCCGATCTAAGAAACTTTGCTATTTCAACCATGATGTTTTAGAAGTTCGTATACTGTTCCTACTAGAATGTTCTTAAATGTTTCTAACGCTGTCCTAGTTGTTTAGGATTGCGATGAAGTAGAATGTTCTAGAAGAAACCAAAAGAATCGAGAACGTTTTAGAAAATTTGAAAACCATTATGTATGAATAGTGGGGATGACTGATGACTGACAGTGTATTGGGTGTATAAGTTTGCAGGTGGACTATCGACCACAAAACACAACTGTAGGATAAGTGTGAATGTACTAGAATGTCCTTGAGTGTTTCTAGTGCTGTCGTAGGTAAGATTGTTCTCTGTAGTCTAGGATTGTGCTCGGGTAGTATGTCCTAGGAACAAACGAAAGAATTGAGAACGTTCTGAATTGTTCGAGAACCATTATGTATGAATAATGAAGATGAGTTCTGACAATGTATTGAGTGTGTAGGATCACAAAACACCATTTTAGGATAAGTGTGAATGTACTGGAATGTTCTTGAGTGTTTCTGGTGCTGTCCTGTATAAGAATGTTCTCAATTGCCTAGGATTATTATGAGGTAAAATGTTTTAGAAAGAACCGAAAGAATGTTCTAGAAAGTTCGAGAACCATCATAAATGAATAATGGGGATGGCTTCTGATACATATATTGACAAGTGAACTAAAAGCTCTTTGAAATTGAAAATTTAAAAAACTAAACCTTGTATATTTAGGTTATTTATGCTGCAATTCCGAATTGAAATAAAAGGCAATCAACATCAATTTATTTTTACTATTTCAGTTTGTATATGTATATAAAATAGATTTACAGTTGGCCATAACAGTGAGTTAAAAGATTATTTTTTCCTCTCCCAATTTGTCCTAAAACCGAACCGCGAGCTTTAATGTTATCTGAAATTAGATCCGGTGCGACAAAAAGGACATTAAACTACAATTTAATTACTGTTTTCCCAGCGACGCGGCCGCAATTTACGAGAATTTTGGTTGGTAGAATAACATATCACCAGGCTATGCTGTACGTTATTTTGCAGCTGTCGCGGCACCGAATACGAAATTGATTGTCAACTAGTTGGGGGTAGGTTGAGGTTACGAACGCTAAAGTGCGCAGGCGTAGCACGTTCGCGGATCAGATCGCGTCGAAAAGTATCGCATCGCGTCGCGTTGTTTTTCGCTTCAATGCGAATGAGGAACGACTACAGATGTCTCTGCTACGCTTTATCGGATGATTTAATGTTGTCCTTTTGTTTCAGCTTCCCGTATTCGATACGAGATCACGAGCGGTAACATAGGAGGCGCCTTCGCCGTCAAAAATATGACAGGTGCTATTTACGTAGCTGGCGCTTTGGACTATGAGACACGGAAACGGGTAAGTACTTGACAGCAGTCACCGACACCGTCTCCACTTCACCCTCATGACACTGGGTGCCTACTACAATGTTAAATTGCACACCCGCGCGGATAACCTTTCAAACAACCCGAGCATCTGACATTATTAAAAGTTTATACAAACATTTAAAACTTGTTGCTCTTTAAACGAATATTGGGATAAAAACTGCCAACAAATGAACTGTTACAGAACAGATAATTACAGTTTTTATTAATTGCGATATCTTTTTAATCAAAACGTATTTTTTAAACAATTTTCTAGTACATATTCAAATTTTTAAAAATTTTGTTTAAATTATGTTTCAGTATTTATTAGACCGTCGTTACAACTGCAGCTTGATTCTAGTTCATTATTTTATTGAATAAAACGCTGACTTGCTGGCTCTCATCGGCTTATTAATTACGTGCATATAGATTTGAAAGTGACTCAAAATTTTAACGAAACTAAGCCTTTGTTAAAACAGAATTAATTACTCTGTGTCAGTAATCAGATTATGCATTGTAAGTAAAACAACATTCCCTCATATATTTATGTATACCTACATATATGAATATGATTAAATTTTGACAAGTATTGATGATCAGACAGTAAAATAATGTGCTGTTAGCCATATTTATAATAGATGTTGCAAAATACTGCTGTGCTAATGTGCAATTTACCATTGACTTCTAATTCGTTTGTTTATCACTAATAATATCCACGGATAATTAAACTACATGAAAATTTCACCGAATATGGTGGGGAGCTTCACATAAGGGATGCATAGCTTCAAAATTAGGTGTTGAGCAAACTAAGGTACTTGCTCCGTTGTTAGGACTTAGATGGTATACTTCATTTACTTTCTCTAGCGATGTGCCCCTTCCAATGTCTTGGATGCACGCTGGCAAAATCGTAGGTAGGGAGAAAAAAGCTTATTATACTCTCGACTCTTGTTCATTAACCATACTTTTTCATACAGTACTTGCCAAAAGTTTTGTTCAATCATGAACAGCAGCGCGAGTCGAAAACCAGCGTTGAAGCCTTTAATATGTCTTCAAATATAAATAAATATCTCGTTGAAATTTTCAGTAGTAAATGGTACCAATAAGAGCACATTTGAGCAATGAAATTGTAGTGGATAAAATGGTCAATTTTTCCGTGCAGTACTGTACGGATTATACGCTCCTCACCGGTTAAGAGTTTGGCCGAGAGTTGTCTCCTTCCTTTTCTGGCCTAGTGCTGTTCTTTTCTACTTTGCGCCGGTCAAACTGAAGGTCACATCGCTACAGAAAGTAAACGAAGTATACC